TTTGGGTGAGTTTTGTGGGGTGTAATGGGGATCACTTGCCGGCCTTTTGTAATTATTTTTTGTGTGAAATAAAATTCCCTACAAGGATTTTTTTTAAAAGAAAAACTTTACTTTAGATACAATAATTACAACTTAAGAAATTGTATGTGATCAACTCATGATATTTTCATAAAAGAAAATACACACTTATTCTTAAGCTTGAAAGGTATTTACTAACAATAAGAGTCAAAATATATTTTTACTCAAAAAGAACTGAATCTGAGACAGTTGATATGGATGAAATTTATTAAATATTATAATTTGAATATTCAGTACCATCCAAAAAAGTCAAATGTGGTGGCATATGCACTGAGGAGGAAGGCTCCACTTAATTTAAACTATCTATTTACTTAGCAGGAGCAATTACTTAAAGAGTTAGAGAAGCTGAAACTATCTATAATTAATTATAATGATGAAAATATGGTTCAATTAAATCAATTTTTGCACTCTACTATGAAAGACGGAATTACAGATTCCTTAGCTAGAGATAAGAGTGTCCATAAAATCTTGGAACATATTAAGGTGGGCGATTTGGAGAGGTACATGTTAGATAAGGATGACTACTTGAAATAGAAAGATAGAGTTTATGTTTTAGATGTTGATAATTTGAGGAAGAAAAGTTTTGAGGCGGCAAATTTATCTGATTATACTATTCACCTAGGAAGTAATACTAAGATCTCAAGCAAACATTTATGGCTAAGTTTCATTCATTTCAGCTAGTGAATAAGGCTAATGTGGATGGTGCTCTTCTCCACAATCATATCGCTGTACCGATGTGGTCATAATTCCTTTGTGCTGCGGGTAATCAACTACAACATTTGGATTATGAATTTATGGCGCCACAAGCCATCCATTCTAATTCGACAAATTATATGGCCATGAATGTTAGAAGCCAGGGGCCTTGTAGTGGAGGGTGACAATATTAATATTATGAACTACATGAGCAAAACTTTGGTACAGGAGACGTGGTGTGTCACCCCAGCTCTCTGACACAATTTTGCTTTTCTTGCTTTCTTTAGGCATGTTTTTTTTCATTTTGTTCACTGGAAACTATACTGAGCTGCCCACTTTTGTGCCCAAAGGACTCTTTCTCATTGTTTTTATTTTTATCGACTTCTGATTCCTTGAGCTTTTTCGCATTCTCTGCAAGGATAGAGCCCATTATAATTATGCCTATAGGCATTTTTTTGATGCCTTTACTATATAGTAATGCAAATACACAGTCATGGATGCAGCTGGCTTTCAGAGTATAAGGAATGATTTAAAACGATTAGTATTGTTTTAACAGTATCTAAAAAAATATAATTTGTAAATGTAAAATTATTGCAAATATTAAAGAAGTTTTAATTGTTAATAAGCACATCTTAGATCCAAAAAAAATTAATTTTGAGTTAAAAGATTGATTAAGAAAGAGATTAAAAAATAAAATTAAGCGGACAATAATGATTTTTATCGTACGGGTACAGATATCACCTCTATTTACATTTGTACACTTATAGAGGATGCACTCATTTGGAGAAATGTCTCTCACAATCTTTAAGGGAACCTTCCACCCAGAAAGCCAGCATTAAATATTTCGGAAATTTACATAAATACCACACAGTTCGTTTTTGTATTAATGCATTTACATATGGCATGCATGTAAATATGAATTTTTAGATGTTAGATATGCATGCATTTACATATCAAACACCAAAAAATTGATATTTACATTTATAACACTTTGGTCTCATAATCCCATGCATGAAAAGATGTATTTCATTTTTAAGAAGATAGCTATGGTGATATTTCTGATGTGATTTTAAAAAATTAGGTGGCATGCATGTAAATATGAATTTTTAGATGTTACATATGTAAATTAATAAGAATCGTGTGGTGTGTATGTAAGTGCCCATACATATTTACTAATAACATTTTGCGCATTACCAATTACATGAGCAAAATGAATATATCCGTGATACGATTGGTGTAGCTCCTGCGACGGACAAAATTAGAGAAAGTCGTGTTAGATGGTTTGGTCACATTAAACACCGACCATCTGATGATCCGATTTGGAGAGTAGATGTTTTAGATTCGACTTGTGTTAAGAAAGACATAGGTAGACCTAGGAAGGCTTGGGCTTATTGTATAAAAAGAGATCTTAATTTACTAGAACTAAATGACAATATGACACTAAATAGGACACAATGGAGAAAAATGATTAGTAGCCGACCCCACGTAGTGGGGTTGAGGCTTTGTTGTTGTTCTTGTACCAATTACATGAGCAATCTGTTGCATTCATAGAATCCCATTTCCTTTTTATAAGTTAAGACAAAATCAACGCTAAAGCATAGAATCATCTAATAATAAATATAATAAACAAATAAACAAGTAGATGTGAAAGAAGATGGTGTTTTATTGATACAAAATGTGTAACACGATCAAAATGTTGGATTTAGGCATCTACAAATAAAACTAAACACATTTCCAAAACTGACTGACGAAAGCAAAATAGTTTTTACCAATGGCCGTAGTGACATATTGGCTAAAGCTTGGAAGGAGCAAGAATCTGCAATGATGATGGAAAATAATAGATGGTTTTGATTAAAAAAAAAAGGAAAAATTAGCATTACTTCTATAAAGATATTTGCAGTGATATAAAAAAATCAAAAGTATCGCATTTAACTATAAATCAAGTGATATAGTAATCTTAATGGATGGAATTAAGTTTGTTTTTAATGAGAAGTTAGATCACAATTAATCAGTAAATAAAAATGTTGAAAATGAAATTATATTTTTTATTGCAAGTAAGTTGTAATGTGGAGCAATTCCAACGTGATTGATTTTAGCACGTAATGATTAGAAGGAAGAAAATGTCCTGGTAATTTTGGCTCCATTGTAAATCAAACTGTGCTAAAAATAAGAGCACGCATAAATATTGTTTAAGCGTACTATATTACCATGATAAAGATATTTACGGATGATATACCAGTAACAAAAATAAAAAATAAAAAAATAATAAATAAATATAATAAAATAGATGCAATACCATAAAGCGAAAAATTTATGGTAGCATACTAATAAAAACCCACAACAATGTACAAAGGCTTATGAATAAATACCATCTACAAAGGTATTTGATATGTAAGCTATATTCAACAAGCAAATATTACATCCGAACTCCGGACGCAATTTGCGTCCGGAGTCCAATGGTGGAGCGCCACGTGTCAAGTGGGCCCACCGCAATACACTGAGATTGGACAGTGTTCAAATTTGTGGAGCCCACTTGACACATGTTGCCCCACCATTGGAATCCGGATGCATCCGGAGTCTCGACCTAATTTTTTTTCATATTCAACCGAAATTTAAAAGAGCACTACTTACAGAACATATAGAGAGGTGTTTTTTTTTTTTTAATACAAAACAATGATAATATGGATATGAAATTCGCATAATCAGAAGTTAGAACTGACCTGTAGAACTGAAGCTTTAGCAGCCAAACCCTGATAATATTTGCAATAAATCTGTAAGATGCCAAATCATGCTCTTCAAGCTACAATCTACTGGTACAATCTACTAATTAAGTGGATCAAAGCTGAAACAGAAGGAACACAAAATATTAGTTGGGGACTGCGTATAATGAATAATATAATATACAAAAACAAAATTATAAAAAAAAAGAATTATGCAAACAATAAACCAGTCTACCAAATGTATTTGGAAAATTTTGGTTGAAGGACTCTACTACAATGGTAAATAAAACATCAAAAATAAAATTATGAACATAATGATGCAACCTCTAAATCACCTGCTCAAATGTATATGAGAATTATTTCTAGCAAATAACATAAAAGGTAAGCTCTAGGTTGTTTAATTTAATGCAACATTCAACTGAAACTAAAAATGATGCGCAAATGCATCTAATGATACTGGACCTACATTAATCAACAGACCATAAATCAATCAAAGCATCAATTCTAAGTCTGTAATTAATAACCTATAAACCAAAAAACATTTTTTCCAAATTTCATGAACTTGAATTGCAGAGCACAAATTAAATTAATAAAAGAACCAAGAACGAATCTAATGTAGAATGTTTACCTACAATTCTGTGGTACCCTCCAGACCGGCATTTTTGATGTTTTTAAAGCTGTTGGAAGAGCCATGTAGCTTTTCCAATCCTCAAGCATGACCTTCAAGTCATCGATCTTCCTATTCAGTCCAATACAGCAATTTGCATGCATCGTACAGACTTCATTAAAATCTCTGCTGGGTTGACAAATTCCGCCAAAATAGGCAGTGCTCAAAAATCTCATTTTCAATCCTACTTTATCAATAAATGGATCGTATTTGATCATGTTAAGTACATCCTGGTCATGAAATCCTGGGTGTTTTTCTCTAGATGAGTACCAAAATTTGTAAAATTTAATCGTCCGATCGCTGGATTTTACAAAATTAAATCCACCATTTGGTCTGTTATTTCGATCAAAAGAATTGCCATTAAATTGATCACAAGCTATCTGAAAGTCTCCATCCGGAAAGAACCGTGGGAGTGGATTTCGGAACCACATGATATCCGCATCCTGTAATCAAATTTTGAAAAGAAAAAAAGATTCTGGATGGGTCAGTGTGCCACATCAGTACCATTTTAAGGGAAGATTTCAAAGTTGAACAATCATAAGTAATTTAGATTTTCAAACATCTACAATGGGCAAATTATGTAACTGACAGGGCATATATAGTGATAAGTCTTTTACTAATAATTCAAGTAAGCAAATTTCAGGCGAAAATAAAGTTCATTAAGGTTCATCAGAAGCCTTTTAGAAATTCCATATCAACAAATGAATAGCAATTAGTACTCGTAAGCCAATATGTTCAGCAAAGTTACAGCTCATTCATGCCTATTTAGTCAGATAAAAGTAAGTTTGAGCACAATTTAAGAATCCTAAACTTCGAACACTGATTTAATTATTTGAAAATGAAGTTCAAAAATTGGCTTTCTTGTTTATGTTGCCTGTGAACATGTTTGTTGTTCAAAAGTTAGATCAGTAAAATGCATTTGAATTCTGGTTTGGTATAATATTACATAGATTTATTTCATGTTGTTGTAAAAGTTATTTCAACCTTACACATATGGAATTAAAAAAAAAATTGGTACAATTAGAAAGGAAAAAAAAAAGATGGATTTTGAAAAAAAAAATCCAATACTTAATTTAATTTAGAATTTCCATCAGTGTTCTATTTTCAAAGAAAGAAATGTCATGTGAATAATGCATATATGTAAAACCGTGAATAAATTTAGTTTAATACTTCCTAATAAAACTAGGTGAAATACCAGAACCAGAAAACCATCTTCTTCTTTCATACTGAACTTTTGACATCTGTCCGGACCATGCACCTCATATGCCGCAATGTGAAAGATAATATGATGCAGCAGTAGAGAATATCTCATTGCAATATTTTCAGTCTAAACTGATTCGACTTTTCCAAACCATCGTCCAAAATGCATAGCTAGAATTGCTAGAAAAGTTACTTTGGTACATGGGATGCCAGTGTATGAGTTTAGAAGTAAGCTTGGCAATTGCAACCTTACATCACCACACACAGCGGCTTCAATTACATTGGGAAGCAACATCGCTAACTCACAGAACCAAGAGTTTTGCAAAGTGCTCGCGGAAGTGGCAGCAGTAATGACAGTCATCTCACCCTGACCGAAGTTTCTGCAGGGGAACTCCAGCTGTCTCGGACAATCTCATCCTCAAGGTTGCCTTCATAGTAATAGAAAATATAATAACGCCATAAGATAATTAAAGAATTTCATCTTCAACAAGCTCACCAGCTCAGACCCTACAGCGACTTCATTTTCCAACAGCATGGCTATGTGTGTGGACTTATCGAATGAAACGATCAAAAGAATCATCCCTTCTATTGGGGCAATCGCCTTCGACATTTTGGAAGAGAAGGTCTGATACCAAGATTTAACAAACATCCAATGGAAGACAAATATTATTACTGGATTCAAATTGCAAATTACAACAAAGCAATGAAAAAATCTGAAAGTGCAACAAAACAACATACAACATTAGAACTAGACTTGAATTTAGGGTGTGGGTGGTGCCGGTAAGGTTTGGACCACCTGGATGGTGGGACGGAGGCTGCTAACATGTAGGAATCAGCAAGGCGGCGGTTTCCCATATTTCGGACAGCAAGCAAACATCAGAAATCGATGTAGAATGGCTGTCCTGAGTGCAGCGGCAGCAAGGGTGCGGTCAGAACAGTAGGGGGCAGGCGGGTTGGGGTGACGACAACAAGGAAAGGATAGAAGGAAGCGTTAGAGTGATGTGGGGAACGAGTAGAAGGGGATAAACACCACATTGAGATATAGCCAGAGTACCGCTCGAAACCATTGGATATAATACTAGAAGGGAAAAGTAAATTTCGACAGCTGTCTCAAAGCAAAATACAACATATGCTAAAAGTCCAAAACTTAATACGGAATATATAAGTCTATTCAAAGTAAAATACTTAATTGAAAAATAAGACAGTAGGAAATGACTCGAGAAAAAAAGAAGGATAAAAGGAAATGTGCTGAAAATTAAAAAGAAAAGAAAAGAAAGGGCGTTCAGTTCTATTCTGTGCCGCTCACAGAAACCGAATGTCGCGATCCTCGAGACACAGGATTACAAGGCTTCGTATGCTCCCGTATCAGTCTACTTGGATTGGTAAAGCTTTGAACTTATCTGTTGAAGATTCTGACTCACGATATGGTGTCAAGTCAGCCATGCTGACAGTAGCAAAGCAATCGTAACCTCCCAGGATTGGGAAGCCTACGACTACATCTCTAGAAGCACTTAGATCCCATTATCAGATGGCACTATCTCACAAAACAAGTGAGATGGTTTCTCAAAATGCGAGTAATCGTCCTTATCTGTCCAACCATCTATGAGTATATTATTGAACTAAACTAGAAATTCATGCCAAGCGTACTCGACAGAGTCTGACAATAGTGACTTAAGGTTGGCTCATTTCTTTCTAAATTGAAGACATGTAGAAACCCCCCTAATAGTGGCAGCCCTAGCGGTAGGTTGTCAGTTAGGATATCCTGAAACACTCTCCATAGTGGTTGTCCTGCATCTGATATCAGCTCTTTTGTCTCACTATCTTCTAATATCACCAAATTGATCTCACTGGAACCTCTCTCATGGTAATGACAACTATAACCTCGGGCTGTGCAGGATCTAGGAGGACTATGTGCATTTCATCCTTGATGAAGGAGTAAATGTTCTTGGACCCATCATCCTGAGGCTTGTGATCAAACCGCCACGGTCTCCCCAACAGGATGTGACTAACGTCTATGGGTACAACATCACACCACACCTAGTAATGCAAGTGATTCCGAATAGAAAACTTTACAAGACATCTCCTTTCAATGCTAACCTTGTTCCTATTTCTTAACCGAGTTAGGGAATATGACTAGAAATCTCTAAGTAGTGAGACTCAACCTGTCCACCATTTGTATAGACACCACATTCTCACAACTTCCTTCATTGATGATAAGGTTGCATACCCTTTTCTTCACAATGTAACGAGTATAAAAGATGTGGCGAAGCCATTACTGCTCTCTTGTAGCCTCAGTCTAAAGAACTCGTCGAACCACAAGCATCTCACCCTCATTAGTTGAAAACTAGTACTCATGTACTTCCTCACCGTCTGCTATGTCTCCAGTACCACTGTCTACTTCTTATACTGCTCTCTACTCAGTGGAAAAGCAACTCCGGTAGTAGGGAAGCTTGAGACAATATATCCAAACAATGACATCTGAAACACTTTCTTGCGGGCACAGTGCTGGGCGTATTGCTCTTTGGTCTTCTTCGTACTCTGATTAGCTCTATCATCATTCAGAACATATTTCACACGTTCATTAGGTACTCCTACAGGCTCCTACTGTTATAACTCGATCTGATAGTTTAGAATTACAAAGTCAGGAACAACGATCAGACAATATTAACATTTTATTTCCTTTTCACATTTTTTTATAAAACTCCAATATATAAAAAAACATTAATAATCCACAAAGTGCAGTACAAAAAAATAAAAACATCCAGAAGCTACGTAGTTTGAAACATCTCAAACCAGAACCAAATAGTACATCAAAATTTGAAAGAAAACAATGCAAAAAGAGACTACAAGCACACCATAACATGATATCTATCAACTGTAGTCTTCCTCCTGTAAAATAAGTATTTTCTGTAATACATATAAACATACAACCTTTCTTTTCCCTAAAAGAAACTATTAATTATAATAGTAAGTTTGACTTAGTCGGCAATTATAATCTTAACATGCATTAAATTTATATGCAAATGCTATGCATGAATGGCAAAAAAAATGCAGTTCATTTCATTATGAAAAAGTAAAATTTCACTTAAATTTTATCTCTTCCTATTTTAGTTTAAGTATTTACCATTTTTAATCTCTTAAAGGGTTATATCAGGATTGCTGTCACACCTGAATGTATCCTCAAAATTGAACCGATATGTACTTTAAAAAATTGACACCCGAAAGTACACTTTTACTATTTCTTTTATTGTGAACAGTTAAAATGCACCCCCTAACAATATTATTTTGGAGTAATCTTGTACATTTACCTTTTATTTCCTTTAAATTATCTCATTTTAAAGACATTAAACAACCATTTTCCATTTTTCCTCATTCATTTCCTTTAATTCTTAACCTTACAACATGCATACAATTATTAAATTATTTGTCCAAGGCATTACGGAAATTCTTTATTTAATAAATTTTAATTTAATACATATAAGTAAATATTTACTCAACTGAAGCCTTACATGTATTCTTCAATACTTATCCCTTCACTGCACTATATCATCAATCTTTTAACAATTTCAAATCTGAACAGCCTTCTTCCACACTTTCTAAATAAATAAAAATTTAATAACATTAATTTAACTAACTATAGTATAAACTCTAATAATAACATTGACCTTAACATATATCATATAGGCTTTCAGATCGATCTTCACCCTTACACACAAAAATTTTCTTGCTAATCTCCCTGACCTTAATTAGCATTTTTTTCATTATCTATCAAATATTTATTAATTTAATGCATATAAATTCCAATAAACAATTCTAACAGAAAAACATACCTTAACTTGCAAATTAGGGTTTCGTTGGGCATTGGTTCTCCACTTTACACCTGTGAATCTCTCTCTTCACTCGCAATTGAAGTTCACGTCAGCTTACACCCTTCAATTTGGGACTTAATATCCTCGATCCTATTTCTAGTAACTTAATATAAATTCATTATTTAATTAAACTCATACTCACACACACATGTATGTGCTTAATGGGGAAGAAAATTCATCGGTGGGATCCAGGTACTATCAGTGGTGAAGAGAACTTTTCTGAGTGGTTGCTACTGAAAATGGTGCAACTTGACACAGAGTGTTCACCCAAGAGTTGTTCTCCCCTCACATATTAATATATCACCCACATTTCACTAAGTGCGAGAAGTGGAAAAAGAATGTTCCAGACTTGAGGGCAAAAAAGTTACATCGCGGGAACCTACATCTACATATAGCCTCAAATTAGAATGTGCCAAAAGATAATGCAAATTTGTTCTATCAAGAAGTGTTGTGGAATAAACATCGACATGGTCGACCTACCAGGGGACTACTCTAGCTCTACCACCTTCAACGTGGCAGACTTTACTCCGTGCTACCAGAAGCTTCAATGAATGAAGTCGAAGCTTCCCAAACCCCGGAAGATTGGAGCAGGGCTTGCTAGGTGGCCGGTTGAACAGGTCGACCATCATGGGGGCTGGAATTGTCGGCCCTTCCCTCTTCCAATTTCCTATTTTACTCCCTTCTATCGATGCAACTTCTTCCTATTTCTCTTCCTTTACTATTTCTTGTTCTTGCCTATTTCTCTTCCTTGCCTTTTTCAATGGCCTTCCTAATTCTATTATGATTCCTTCCTATTCTAACTACTAGTACCTTTATAAATCTGTTGTTTATTGTCTTAGGGTTTCGTTTTTGATTTTTCTGATTTCAGAATTTTGTCCAGCTTGCCGTTGGCGACTGTTTTCCCTTCTTGGGTTGTATCCGAAGGCGAGAATGTGCTCCAACTGTAACTCATCTAAATTGATCAACTTCTCCAAGGGTTCGAGATGTGCTTCGGTTGTAACTCGCTCCAACGAGGATAGTTATATTTCCCTTTTCATCCCAGCTGCTCACAACCCCTCTCCCTGCAGCCACAAAGTTATTGCCGCCGTCCAGCAGCCCACATATACCTATTGCTGCCCCAACCCTATACTCCTCAAATCTATGGCCGTAACCCTCTCCCACTCCCAAAACTGCTGCCCTAAACCCCCAACTCCCAAATTTGCTGATGTAGCTGCTGCCGTAAACCTCCTCAGCTCCCAAATCTGCTGTCGTAACCCTCTTCCACTCCCAAGGCTGCTGCCGAAACCAGCCCCAACTCCTAAGACTGCTGCCATGACCCCTCCCACTCCGAAGACTGCTGCCGTAACCCTCTTCCACTCCCAAAGCTGCTGTCATAACCCTCTCCAACTCCCAAAACAACTGCCATCCCCCCATCCTTGTTGTACCGTAACCCCTTCCAGCACCATCCACAGCTGCCGCAAGCCCCGGCCAAACATCCCACTTGCTGTCCAACGAGTGTTCACCACCTTCACCTTCACTGTACGGTATATTTTATGTTTGTGTTTTTTATTTTTCTATTGTCAAGAATCTTTGTGTGACCATTTGAATTTCAATAATAATATTTCTATCTCTATTGTGGTTTCAGATTACTCTAGTATCAGACAATCCAAATATTGCTGTTGCATTGCACCAACACAAGTGTTGCATAATTTTTTAAATGAATTATTTTGATCACTCAATTTGTCCTCTTCCATTAAAATATGACAGCTATAATCTCCAGCTGAGTGAACACTGAATTACGTCCCTATTTAAATACAAAAGTAGAATGACTTACACACAACTATTTAAATTCCAAAACGACAAGATCCTTCATTAAAAACCATGTGACACATCATTTGCATGATGAACTAATTGAAATTAATAGCTGTTTTTACTCAACTAATGGTATAAATAAAAAAGCCATACATTTCGAACAGCATTAAATCCTCGATTATAGAGATCATTAAATACAATGTGAATGTCAAACAACTCTCAAATTGTCCCCTATAAAACAGTAAGGGCTCATATAACTCATCAAGTAAATTTTGTGATATCTCGATGATGTAAATTAGATTAAATAAACCATATGAATCAAGATTTAATTGTTGGTGTCATCTTTCATCTCAATCTTCTCATCTGTTTATATCTAATCACACAACCAATTAAAGTAGAACTTTCTACTCATTTTAAGGTCTCTCTTTCTCTCTCTCTCTCTCTCTCTCTCTCACACACACACACACACACACATACACACACATCCTTTATCTTCTCGACTCCACTCTCAATATTGAGGTTTACTGTCTGCATCTTTGCTTCAAAATGTGTGAAATCTTAAGATATGAACATGGAGGCTTCTATTCATTTTATTTGGAGCTAAAGCTTCCTATTGGAATTATTCCTTTTTGAATTACAAATTTTTGACTAAAATGTGTCAAATCTCTTCCCCTAGTAAACAAATGATATTAACATAAATTTCTGTAGAAATTTGATGATGCTAACTGCAAAATTAAATTTTAATTGGTGGCTTGACATGGTCAGCCAATATACCACTATGCTACCTTCAAACCTAAATATTTTATAACAAATTAATAGTGAAAAAAAACAATTAAGTATTAAGATATTATAATCAGCAAGCCTTCCATGAAAAGGGGGCACATGTCTTCTCCTTTCAAAAGGTAGCAAATGCATATGCCTTGCAGAGAATGTCAAGATATTGATAAAGCTTAATAAGATCTGCATTAGAAAGTGTAAATATGATTCAAGAAAAAGAGGAATTGTTGAATGAGAAAGATCTCAAGTAGCTAGTAACTACAAATAAAATGTAATGGCTAGTTGGTTATTAAAACTGCAGGACATATTAAAGATTAGACTATCTAAAAGCCAAGAACGCATAAGATGAAAACTATCAAAAATAGTATTTCAGTAATCTGAGATTCATCTATTTCCCAACATTCTCACATAAAATATTCAAGCAGATCCTATGATGATAACAAATGACGGAATGCACAACATATAAAGCAGTAATGTAACACTACCAAGAAAAAATTTCAAACTAAACATTTATTATTTTTTTTTAGAAAAAGAGCATTATTCGGCTCCTCATTTTATTCGAATAGAGAATTTCAAACTAGACAATAAACAAGATGTGGTTTGCAAGGAAAAGTACCGTGAAGATGAAATTGTATCCCATTTCAAGTACTGTTCTCAAGAAATCAATCCGTCTCCACATCATCTTCAAGTAGCCATCACTCATAAAGTTTTCTTGGACTGAAAAATCAACTCCGGCCGTTGCTAGAGCAAAGCAATGAGAATGTATGGTCCTGCACCGGAGATATGCCTTCTTGTCAAAAGCAATAATCACTAAGTGATCAAGTAGTGAAAGAGTATGTGGAAACTCTCAAGGAATAGATCAATGATAGTGCCTGTAGACGCCCATGCAGCATTCAAAGTAGTTAAGATCACGGTATTATCTTTCATCGCAGAAGCCTTAAGAACCTGAGCCAACCTCACGTCCTCCTTATCCTAACAAAGTTCAATAGAACCATATCATGCAGAACTTTTTTTCATAATTTTGCAAACCGAATAAGAAAACAACATGAAGGTCCATAAAAGCCAATTATAAAATAATAATAAAAAAAAAAGTGATATACTTCATTAATTATGTAACCATGTAATTGATTATACTAATGAAATAATTATGTAAGATAATTAATTTTAAGTAAGGTAGCTCAATTAAAAGATGCCATAAGGCCAAATTAATTGGAACCATTAAAATAGATGTTTCACCTATTTAAAAGGCAAAGCCCTACTAATTCAAAATGGACTGTCACATACCATAAAATATTAAATGGAGTGGAGTTGCATCATCATTAAAAAGATTATCAAAGTGGTTCAATAAAGTTTTTAAATTCAAAAATAAGAAGTTAGAAATCAAGAAATCAAATGAGAGGTTGCACAAACTCAAAATATGTAGGTTACAAATCATAAAAAGCTTCATTCAACTTAATAGTGTTACAAAATCAAAACTCAAATTTGGGAGATACTTAAAGTCATAATCATGAAAAATAAAATAGTTTCTTTTTTTATTTAATTTTAAAGCATATATCTTGTATTTAAAATATCCAATGAATGAAATAAAACAGAACTATTTTCTTTGTTTACAAATTTCTGCAATGTTGATTCAGAATTTGATAATTTAGGAATTGTTGTGAACAAACCAGGCTGAGTTTTAAAAAGCTCATCATCTCTTCTCCCTTATCCCTCTCTCCACTCCATTCTCTCCTCAAATACGACCACTAATCCTTTCTATTCACCTTATTCTGGCTCTCAGACACATCTCTCTCCTAGCCACTAGGCCAACAACCGATTGACTACTCTCATTCACCACCACTGTATCACTTATAGCATCATATAAAAAAAAGGATCCAATAATATCCCTCAGAGAAATTTCATGTTAAAGGAGAACTCAACAAATTTTTAAGAAAATCCTGGAGGAATTGGAAAGCACATAAAGACAGCACAACAAGACTTACATAAGTGGCTTAAACAAGTAGTAAATTTGGTTTCTCCCTATGGATAACCTCTTCCAAGTTCCACCGTTTGAATTTTTAAACTTCTCAGTCGCATGGAAGTCGAGAATATAGCATTTTTTTATGGAAAACGTGATGTAATTCTTCTCATCAAAGAAGTGATCACTATCTCAAAGCATAGCCTAACCGAGTATAGACTAACCCCATCCTCATTTATTTGAGAATTACATTTTGTGTAAAACGCGATCTACTCAATAAACATGCAAGCCATAAATGAGATTTGGATTATAAGCTCTTGAAGAATATTTGCTTGATTATTTCACTTTTGATTTTTTTTTTTTTACATGCTTATAGTTATTAATTGAAATTGTTAACAAATGTGTGAAGAACCTGAAAGCTCTTTCATGCACTCAACTTGTTCGCATTATTAAAAATTACAAGCACAGCACTTTAGTTGAATCCGAAATCAAATCCCATTTCTATCTTGAAATAATTTTTTATTCCAATGATTGGAAACATAATGACAATTTCCAAGTGTGCACAATGAAATGAAAAGACATGTAGGCAACATATTGATGACAATAGTACAAAAAGTGTAATCTTCTCAAGGAATCCTAGAAGTGAACTTAAACCATGAACCTCCTCATAAACTAGTCGGTGTATGTTGACCTAAAACATTATCTTATTCAAGAGAACTAGGTGCCTAGGGTGCAAAATCCTTTTTACAAACAAAACATCTATCCTAAAAGGTAAGTCATGGATTTATAAAAAGAATGTTATGCATAGTAGTCTTAAAGGCATGTATGTTTGAACATAACATAATGGGTATCAACCAGCGTAAAACTTGTCGAAAAAAGCATGACATGAATCCTTTTGATCATATGTAAGTGCATCATTATGTAAGTGCTAGGGCATCCCTTGGAAGCGACGCGCTGTATGGTCTGAATACAGTGAAAAGTGTGCAAGGGTTGTTACACCAACGCCCGGGTGTAGTGTCAAATAAATAAGAGTTCCCACATTATCAACGAACGCGAGCAAAAAAGTTAGTCTATGAAACTAATATTATGATATGATTTTGGAATATAGGTACTCTTACTGCTAAATTAATGGAATCAATTGATATTATGATTCATAGAAAGATAAATATCTTATGTGTTCAAGAAACTCAATGGGTTGGAGAAAAGGCTAAAGAGATTGATAGCTTATGTTTCAAACTTTGGTATTCAGGTAAGAGTCGCAGTAGACATGGGGTAGATGTAATTATAGATAAAAGTTTGAAAGATAATATTGTAAAAATTAATAGAGTTGGAGATAGAATTATAGCCTATAAGATTAATGTTGATACTAAAATTTCTAATATTATAAGTGCTTATGCTCCTCAAGTAGGTTTAGATATAGGTTCTAAAGATAAATTTTGGAATGACTTAGAGGACTTAATACAAATGATACCTCTTGAAGAAAGAATTTTTATTGGAGGAGAGTTAAATGGACATGTCGGTAGAGTGGTAGAATATTTTAGAAATATTCATGGTGGAAACGTTTTTGGAGTGATTAATGAAGAAGGTAGAGCTATATTAGATTATGTTTTACCATATGATTTTGTTGTTGCTAATACTTTATTCTAGAAAAGAGATGAGCATATTATTACTTATAAGAATGAATCTAATAAAACCCAAATCGTTTATTTTCTTATGAGAAGAAGAGATCGTCGAGAATCTAAAGGTTGTAAGGTTATTCCAAGTGAGAATTTAAGTACTCAATATCAATTATTAATTCTAGATTTTAAAATGAAGAGTTGTAAAATAAAGAATACTAGGAATCATAGTCGTAGAATTAGATGGGAGTGCCTAAAAGACACATAAAATTATTTTTGTAAGTAAAATTCAATATTTCAAAATTTGGCACGTTCATGAAGGAGTAAATTTTATGTGGGGTAAGTAACAAAAACTATTAAACGAGTGGCACAAGTTGCACATGGAGAATCAAAAAAGAAAGCTTCCATAAATAAAAATAGTTGGTGGAACAATAATAGTATGAAAGAAAAGATAAAATACAAGAATGTATCTTATAAAAATTGGTTTAAATGTAAAAGCTGAAAGAAAACTATCAAACGGCCCGTAGAAAGTCTAAAAGAACAATCTGTGACATTAAAATTCTACTTTTGGTGATCTTTATAATAGATTAGATACTAAGAGGTTAATTGAACACAGGTTAAGGCGTATTACAAAGATTTCTCATAATAAATTTGGATTTATGTTGGGCAAGTCTACTATGGAAGCTATACATTTATTGAGAGGTTTGATGGAGAAGTTCAGAGATAATAAAGAGGATCTACATATGATTTTTATTGATTTAGAAAACTGTTACAATAATGTCCAAAGAGATATCCTTTGGAGAGTTCTTGAGAAGAAATGTATTGATATGACTTATATTCAAGTCATTAAAGATATGTATACAATAACTGTTACTTGTGTTCGAACAGAAGGAGGTTTGACCAAATATTTTCCTATTTCTGTTGGTTTACATCTGGGATCAGCTTTAAACCCATACCTTTTTGCTTTAGTGATGGATGGTCTTATCGGACACTTACAGGAGAATGTACCTTGGTGTATGCTTTTTGTTGATGATATTTTTCTCGTAGATAAGACGAGAGAGAAAGCTCAAGAAAAACTTGAATTATGGAGGTCTACCTTGGAGTCTAAAGGCCTTTGTTTGAGTAAAACTAAAACTGAATACATGGAATGTAATTTTAGCAGTCGTAGCTCTAGTGACAGAAATGTAACTATGGGTGATCAAATTATTAAAAGATGTGAACGCTTTAGATATCTCGAGTCTATTGTTCAAAGTGATGGTCATATTGATGGGGATGTTATTAGTAGAATTTAAGTTGGTTGGTTGAAGTGGAGGAATGCTTCGGGCCTATTGTGTGAAAGAAAAGTACAACTTAGACTGAAAGGAAAATTTTATAAGATGGTGGTGAAACCTGCAATGCTCTATGGCGCAGATTTTTGGTCTTTAAAAGAGAAGCATAAGACTAAGTTAAGTGTTGCCGAGATGAGAATGATTAGGTGGATGAGTGGCTTTACACTTAGAGGCAAAATGCGAAATGAATATATCCATGATAGGGTGATAGGGTTGCATGATAGGGTTGGTGTAGCTTCGATGACGGAAAAAATTAGAGAGAGTCATCTTAGATGGTTTGGCCACGCATGCATTGAACTAAAATCGCTTGATGATCCGATTAGAATAGTAGATATTTTAGATTCAACTTATGTTAAGAAAGGCAGAGGTAGACCTAGGATGACTTTGGCATATTGTATAAAAAATAATTTTAATTTATTATAATTAAATGAAAATATGACACTAAATAGGACGCAATAGAGAAAAAAGGATTCATGTAGCCAAACCCACTTAGTGGGATAAAGGTTTTATTGTTGTTGTTGTTTGTTGTATAGAATTGTTCACCAAGCAAATATTTCTATGTTTAAACTGGCATAATGCCCTAATACCATTTGTAACGTCCTGAATTCTCATTCATCAAGATATTCTCCGCTTTGGCTTAGTCACCTTGTGGTTTTGTCCAATGGGTGTAACCTCCAAGGAGGTCACTCATCCCAAGTGTGCTCCCTTATAAGAATGCTTAACTAGGAGTTTATTATTAAATTCCAACATTTATACCAAAAGGATGACTTGATGTTTAATAGTTCAGCTTCATTCTACTTAAGCGGTTTTGAAGATGATAGATAAAATGTCTACATTTTTAAAGTGAATGATCATACAATAAAGCCTTAATTATAAAAGAATGTAGATCGACATAAGGTGTCAATCAATTTGATTCATCCTAAGTAGAGAAATTGGCATAGTCAAACTGTAATAATAAAAATAAATTAAATAAATAAAGAGTATTAAATAATAATGGTAATAAAAATTCGAATGGGCATTAAGATAAGCACCCATCGGTTACGCGATGCTTTGGCTCCTTCCTCTACATTG